CTAGTAACTTATCAAAACAAGCCTCTTTCATCCGAAAATAATTTGCATAGTCTTTATCTTCTTGTAAAATAAAAAATGTCAGTCAATAAGTTAATATGGGTATAGCCATTGAGTTATATGTACTGCGTATTAGAGAAGCCATTCCAAACAAAAATTGTGTCCTACTCTATGTCTTCGCGCATTCGCGGGAGTAGAAGTCGCGCATGCGCGAATACTTTAATTTAATATAAAATAAGATATTAATATAAAATAAATATAAGAATTTAATATAAAATATCTTAATTTAATCTAAACAAACATATTTCTAAATAGAATGTAATAATAATTATTTTATAGAATTCACAAATCTTCAATTTACGCAATATTTAGTTTGTATGGATTGCACTACAGTTCAGTTGAACATAGTCAATGTTCGGAATGGCTTCTCTAGTACGTAGTACATATAACTCAATGGGTATAGCAATCCCTTTTTAAAAGCCAGTCTTTTACCCAGCGCCTTCTTTTTATACGTATTTACACAAAATATCAATCAAAATTGCAGCACAGGCCTTTTTTTTACAAATACCCATCCTTTCCCTCTGAAATTTCGGGTTTGACTGACGATCAGTCAGAATGAGCGTGTAAGACGCCCATTACATGGTAGGTTTTGCTGTCAGTTTTACAACAATCACGGTTGTGATTGACGAATAACCTACCGTGTAATGCGGTGATTGACGGTTGCATGAAATTTATTGACAAATATCTGGATATTTTGATTTTTACGTCAATCAACTATCAGTCACGAATTTTGATTGAACGTGTAATAACATTTCGTCAATCACGCGTCAGTCAACGCTCAGACAGCAATGGAGGCGGACGCAGAATATATTAGAGAGGCGGCTTCCACGCGCTCGCGCGGAACCCGTCACCACTCTTGCCAAACGTGCTTCAGCCAGAAAAAGATTTTATTTTAAATTTTAAGGCTCTCCCCGAGTTGTGGGATACGAAAAACCCCGGGTAGGATGGATGAACCTAATACCAGCCACACCCCTAATTCCAGCCTTTCCACCTTTTTACTTCGTAAATAAGATTTCTAGTAGTCTTAACTACAAATATTGTCGGCTAAAAAATTCTTTGTAACTAGAGGAAAGTATATTTCAAATATTACCTCACAGTTTTAAGCCTAACAGTATTAAATTAAAAATCAAAACACGTACACAACGAAATACGCTCATTTTCCTAATTTTTGACAAGTTATGGTCCCGATACAATTAAGCATATTTTACATTAGCTTATCTTTAGGCTTTTTGATTTGTATGAATGTGACTATAGACATAGTAATGCAGCTATTTTTGTTTAAATCTATAAGTTTTTTATTTTACTTTAGTGGAAATTAATGGTGCTGTAATTAGATATACGAAATGTATGGAGTGCTTAATGTCAGCCGCCCGGCTGTTATTTGGTTGACGTACATAATAAGAAGTACCTAATTTCAGTCACGTAATAGGGCTGTCATAAACTGGAATAAATACCATTAATTAGAACATGACTTATTTTATAGTTAAGGAAGTTATGATAAATTCGTCTATATTTTAATATTGGTTTTTGATTTAAAAGTTTAGCAAATGATACGTACTTGCTTTTCAAACATTTGGTATATGTTAAGAACAGCATACAATATTTAATTATTTTTTGAGAAAGACAAAAACAAACAATGAATGTAATTAACAACAACTTAGTAATATTAATTTTACTATAACTTAAGAACATAAATGAAAAAGTCATAACTTATAGTATATAGTAAGCTTATTTTTCGTCCATAAATGCGTTTCAAATAAAGCCGCGTATCGATTATGCGCTCCAAGAGGTCGAACATTGGCGCGCGTTAAATTAAAATGGGTAAAATGATATTAAATATTACAATTTTTCCTATTCGTTTTTTTTTTCTTTTTCTTTTCAAAATATTAAATTACAGTTAAATGGTGAATCGAAAATGAACTTAGTTTAAAGGTAGGTGTTTTCTCTCCGAAAATTTGGGTTTGACTGACATCAGTCAGCATGAGCATGTAATGTCGAAATTATTCTATCATGCAAACGTCAATCATGATTGATCGAATTGATTGACGCTTGCCTAGGCGTGTAATGGCCGCTTATAGATCCAGAACTTGACGGATTAAGTTAAGTTTGTGACGATCTTTTTTGTACATTTGTGTAAGTTGAGACAAATAAAAAGCCTTTATATTATAAAAGCGATTATTATATTTGAGATGGGATATGAGGGACGTATGTAGATACTACTTTTTCACTTTTAATGGGGGTTATTATGCAGTTTTTATTGCATTAATATTTGCGGAGACGGTACATTTTTTTTCATTCTACCGAAAATATTTAGTGTAGCGAAGATGAGTAGAACTTATGATCGTCATCATTATATGACATGCATTAGCTTATCAAAAGTCCCTTGCTGAACAAAGGCCTCCTCCATTGATTGCCAAATAGGCTGGACATTTTCCCAAGTTGGCACGCTTGGCAGGCAAGTTTGCAACCGTTACTATTTTGAGCTGTTATCAGAAAGATGCTGCTGCACGTCTCCTGTTTCAGTTTCACTCTGGCGCCTCTTACGACAACCACGGCACGATATGGGGTAGTGAGTTCTCTATCGCCGTTCGCCGCCGCGAATATATTTCTTCTCCCGTTCATGAATGTAGTTCTTCTGACAAGTGACGATCACCGTAACGTTTTATAAAAATATGTAGATCTAACGTTTATGAAATATTGAAATCTACTCGTACGCAAAATAATATCAGCACATATTTTATAGTGCCAATCAATATTCAACATGATATTAATGCAATTCTGATAAATTTACGTGTAACATATTTTACATGTATCATATTATCAAATTTCCATCAGCTTCGTCCAATAGCCTCTGGGAATTCGAAAAATTCTGTGACAAACAGACGTAGAGGTAGATACACCGAGGTGACTCTACAAGTGATCCAATTTGCTAATTTTGACACGGAACTGCAATAATGCTGTTCCTAAATTGAAACCCACGCGAGCAAAGCCGCGAATAAAAAGCTAGTATATAATAGTATCATACGTACAGAATTAAACTTTAGCGTCATGTACGAATGTTTTTATTGCTTTGCATCTTTTCCCTTCCTACGCCACGGACGACATTCCGTGGTTACCTCGGGCTGTCAACAAAGAGTAAATAAATATAGTGGATATAACTTTTAATTATTTATTTAATTTATAACTGTTTTACTTTAACACAATGTATTAAAGAAAGAAAGAAAGAAAGAAAAAAGAAAGAAAGAAAAAAATCTTTATTTCGCCACATAAGCACAACGCTATGTTGTACATTTTTTAACAGTTTTTAAATTTAAGAGTGGGGAAAACTCTAAATTTAATGTTTAATTTAAGTAAAAGAGAATACATTAATATTCGTTAATATTTCCAGTAACTTATTCTTTGTCTTTTTTCTTATGTTTTCAAAATTGGTAATGAATGTATTTTGTAATACCATAAAATAAATATTTTTTATTATATGCTTTAAAATGAGAATATACATTGGAATCTATTCGGGGGAAAGAGTATTAACTAAAAAATGATATATCTGAATTATTTTGTTGACTCACTAAGCACTCATCCATGCAACAATTATAGTAGCAATGACGTTTTATCATTAAAATTCATCTGATGTAGGTAATATACATATATAATATTATAAACTACACTAAAACTTATACAACTATTTTATCCTACAAATAAATATACTAAACATTTAACAAAAACTATTGAAACAAGTATTTAGAAAAAAAAATATTTACTTAAACAGTGTTAAATGACTTTGAAATTCACTAATATGTACGTAACCTGAGCTTCCGCACGATTGTAGGTATTAACGTCAAGCAGGTACCAGGAGTGAAATAGCCTTGGTAGTACTAATAGCAAAGAATACTAAGTACTAACTAACATACTAATAGTATTTTAGTCAGTCTGTTAGTCTGTTTAGTATTTTTAACAAAGTTCAAAAATAGAGAAGTTTATATGTATATTCGTGGCGTGTGCTTTTTATGCACGTTCAACGATTCGTCGGAAATGGCTGAACCGATTAAATTTTCTTTTTAAGTAAATAGGTTATATCTAGGCGTGGTCATATATGAACTCAAAGAAAAAATCCATCTCTAAGAGAGGTAAAATACAGAATGAAGATTGTAATTTACTTATAAACTACATTCCAGTTGAATACCTTGAATTCAATATGGTAAATTAATTAAACTTTTATAAAAAGATGTTTCGACTTCAAAAAATTAAATAAATTATAACTTATATTCCTTGGGGGAGCCCTATATTCGGTTTAGTTCATGGTCGAACTATACGCTTAGGTACTCGTACATAAACGTACTCGGCTTAGATCAAATAATGAATCAGCTGCGTCGAAAATAGATTATAGATATATTATTTGATATCTTCAGATTAGCAAGAAAATCACTACGCCAGTATCGTGAACAAAGGTAATTAATTACGTATTAAGTTAATATTAATTATAATATTACGTACATATTTATCAGTATTTCTATTATCGAACACTGTAAAGTATAAAATAAATGTTACCGTTTAAAATATTCTATAATGTATTTGTGTCGGTTTCCAGGTTAGTTGACTCACTTTTACATCATTTCTCAACTTAAGGCCAGCAAAGATTGAACATAAGAACGTCAATATCATATTTATAAATGTTTTATTAGAAAACCGGTCCTGTTCCGTGTTGTCATTAAAATAGCGTTTGCCGTCCTTTGTTGTTTGATTGATAAATTATTTCAAAGTGGCAACACGAAATATTTACATATTTTTGTGTTAAAGATACAAAACTTGTGGCGAAATTCGGCACGATATTATATCTTTTGGACTTTTTTTTTAGATATATACGCTAAACAAAAAAGTTAATATAAGTGAATTTGTAATTGAGTGTAAGAGACTTGTAAATTATTTTTACTTTTTTTTTCTATAGAATGTGGGCATCATTACTGTGTGTCCTGGCACTAGTGATGCTTAGCCAAGCATGCACACCCAGCGTCACGACGGTGAGCGGCACACACGCTCCTGTGACTGTATGCTCGGGGGCAATGATATTTGCTGATGACTTTGAAGAGTTCGACCTCGAAAAGTGGCAACATGAAAACACCCTTGCAGGTGGCGGTGTACGTACTTTTTAGTTCATTGATTTAAGTTATTTCTCAAAATTTTAAGGTTTATTTTGGACTGAAAAAAATAATTTTATAATTTCGTTTGGTCCATCTGTTGTTTGTTCTAAAACTTCAAAACATAGTTCTTTTTTCTTTAAAATCTACGGTTTTATTATAAAACCTGATTTAGTCAGTCATTGTTAAGACAGTCTCAGTGTTCAGAATAGAACAACGTAGATGAAATTATACCCCGTTAGAACTGTTACTAGTATATTTGTGACACAATTACAATATAATATGGTAGTTTAAACAAACTATAATCCTTTTACATGACTACCTCATTGATCTAGTGATCGTAATCGCGGCTGCTGATCACGAAGTTTTCGGTTCGAATCCCGGGTCGGACCAATATCAGTTATAGTGTTTTTCTGTCAAGAAATTCTCAGTAACAACTTGGAGTCGGAGAGTGGTCGGTGTATCACCGCCGGCGCCGTGCCTCAGAAAGCACGAATGGTTGAGACATATTACCGTCCCATCGGATTATGAGAGTGAGGGAATAGGGAGTGCACCTGTGCTTACGCTTACTGCACTCACTCGTGCACTATAATCATATCCTGCATAGATGGATACTCTGCGTTGATTCCGGCCACCGTGATCGAAAATGATTCTGGAGGACATTAATTCCTTACAAAATTTAGACCACAGTTTATTACCATTTAAACCATAGTATAAATATGAGATTAGAAAAAATCCACGTTGGTTATATGACCGCCGTATTAAACGGAATAGATAATATAAGAAGACGATTTATATACATATTATATAAAGTGAATGCAATTTTACTGGTTTCTATAACGTGAACTGATAGTTGAAAACAATATTGCATTTGCTAACAAACTTCGAAAAAGATCATTTGAAGGATAAATGAAAACTGTAAGGTAAAAACAATTAAGTTGAATATATACAATGTAATAAGTAATAATCAGAAATGGACCTTGCACAGGTAGGAGGCAACCGAATCATAGTTCAAAAAAAGATATGGCGGTATTAGCAGTACTTATTGCAGCTTCTTGATATTTGATGACTTCTTCTTCACGGCCACGCTCGTTCAAAATTTCCACTAAAACGTAGTGGATTATTATATAATATACTCTTTGCATTACACAATGGAATGTTTCAAAATAGTAAAAATGCAAGCAAGATAAAAAGAGCACTGACTATAAACTGTGTTAAGCCAATGTGTGTGTTCAACCACTGTCCTTGCCAGACCTTATTCCTATTTATTACATTATTTTTTTTATAATTCAGAAATCCCTTTTACAGAAAAAAAATTACAAAACTTAAAGCGGCTTCTACATGGGCAATAAAATTTGCATTTTATTGAAAATCTTGCGATGTTATTGTACAGCACCTTTAAAGTTCGCCGAGCAATTGAACTTATAAATGTAAAACTTAAAACTTAAGCTACGCAACATGCGTTCTGCGTTGTGCTACGTAGTATTATTATTTATTCTGTTATTGTACTCCGTAGTATTATTATTTATTCTGTGGTTGTGAGATAGACAGTAACTTAACGGTTTTACGGTTGCAACTAGAAATTGCTACAAAACTAGACCATCTACGACCGCTTTTATTTACATAATATGTTAAATACGATAAAGACAAATTAGTAAAAGGTAAAATAAGTATATTAAAATAAATAATTATACAAGTAAATATATTATACAAGACAAAGTTCTCGTTTGAGGAGACCGGGAAAACCGGACAAAGCAACGGACGTTAAGGTAAAGAATTACTAATAGAATTTTACTTTACAGAATTGGGAATTCCAATACTATAACAACAATCGCACGAACTCTTTTACTCATAGTGGGCTGTTATTCATCCGACCCTCCTTGACGTCAGACCAATTTGGTCAAGCTTTTCTTAGTAGCGGCCTTCTTAATATTGAAGGAGGTGCTCCAGCAGACAGGTAAGTTAGCAGTAAATACTATATATATATAATTAATATAATTATTTAAAATATTTTTTTATGTTATACTCTATTCCAATTAAGAAGTCCCTTTTGACACTTCTTAGTACGTAACTCTTCACGTTTCGCATAATTTGAAATAATAATCATTTTTGTTCATGGTCGTAAATCATCATTTAAAAATACACAATCAATCTAAATCATTATACAATTAATTCACACACACAATCAACATATTGTTTTTAGACATCGTGCTCAAAATAATTAAAACTAAAAGATAATAATATTTTACTGCCGTTTTGAGTTTACGTTCTATAGTTTTATTTTTACTTTTTTACATAGTGACGTGACTAAAAGAATCGTATAAAATCGATTATAGACAGATTCTTTTCGCGAGTGAAAATCTGTCAACACTGCGTCCACCTCGTGATCACGACCGCCATTTTGTTTGTCTCTTCAGTACGAGTGCAGAAGCCTTGTATACGATACGCGTGTTCAGTTTAGTTGATTTTGTGTTGTGTTTTTATTTCGTTCTTGTTATTGTAGTTATAACTGTTTGATAATTCTTTCGTTGTTATTTTTTTTAAACAACGTTACCTCCACACTTGGATTTTCTCCTGTGTCGTGGAGGCAGTTTACAAACATAAATTGCACAAACATCCAGACCCGGAACAATTATTTGTAGGCCATTCAAAACTTGTTCCCTGCGGGATTCGAACCCGAGGCACCCAGCGCAACAACTCATTGCTAAGCCACTATACTACGGAGCCGTACACTATTAAGTTTTGACTGTTATTTGATTTGGTTTTTTTTGTATTTATAAACACTATGGCCGAAACTGAGACCACTAAAAGAACAGTGATGCGCAGTCAAGCGCGAGAGTTTGTAGTACGCCTGCAAGATTACTTTGAAAGAGAGTATCAGAATGGTGGTCCATTGTTGCCACTTTCACAAGTGACTAACCGAGTAAGTGCAGCTCTTGGTATTAGTCGAAAAACTGTTTCCCGAATAAGTAAGGAAAAACATGGTAAAGATTTAATGGAAGATAACAAATTAAAATCACCATTTAAGAAAAAAATTAGAAGATCGATAGTTACACATATCGACAATTTTGATAACGACGTCATTAGAAACCATATCTATGGCTATTATAGTAGGAACGAATTGCCGACTCTCGATAAATTGTCAAATACTTTACGAGAATCTGGACTGTTTCACGGCAGTAGACCTTCTTTCTGGAGGGTTTTAAAAAATGTTGGCTTTTCTTATAAAAAATGTGATAAAAGGCGGATTTTGATGGAGCGTAGAGATATAGCTTTAGCCAGATTTAAATTTCTAAGATCAGCAAAGTCCATTGCCGTTTGGAATAATATTTTATTTCTAGATGAGACGTGGCTAAACGCTAATCATACAGTTGGCAAGATATGGACAGACGACACTCCTCACTCCTCCACAAAAGTACCTAGTGGCAAAGGCGAACGCTTAATTATTTGTCATGCGGGTTCCATGAAGGGATTTGTTCCGAACTGCCTCTTGGCGTTTAAATCTAAGAAAACTGTGGAATACCACGAAGAAATGAATTTTGTTAAATTTAAGGAATGGTTTTGTATCTTATTGACCAACTTGAATGAGCCATCGACGATCATTATGGATAATGCACCGTATCATTCAGTACAAATAAGTAAGCCTCCAACTTCTAGCAGCAAAAAAGCCGATATTGTGAAATGGCTGATTGACAATAATATTGTTGCTGACATGTCCATGTTAAAAGTTGAGCTGCTGCATTTGGTTGCTATAAATAAGCCAGCTAGACCAAAATACGTATTGGACGAAATGGCTAAGGAAGCCGGACTCAATGTAATGCGCCTTCCACCCTACCATTGTCAATACAATGCCATAGAATTGATTTGGGCGCAATTGAGTGTAAAGTTCTTATTATACGTGGTAGATCCATGCTGTAGCTATATTATGGTTGTAGCACGAATGGGTCGGCTCGACCAGGAAAGGACCACGCTCTCACAGAATACCAGCGTAAAATATGGTGAGTGTAGAAAGAAGTGTGAAAGAACCGGAGACCCTTTTTACTGGAAACGAGGCATTCCATCTTAGTCCTCACGGGTGACAACGCATCTGCATTTTGATTCTTAATCGAAGATAGATGGAGATGTCTATGTGCCACAGCAACCACTTACCATCAGGTGGACTGTGTGCTCGTTTGTCACCCTTATCCTATAAAAAAAATTAAAGGCAAGAATTTAAACAAATCTTTTTTATAATTTATTTTTACCTATTTTAACATTTTATCTGTTGCTATATTAACACACAAACCTTTATTTTAGGTTATGCGGCTCGTAAAAATACCAGCCCTCCTTTTACTGCAAACAAAATGCTGTCATTGTTGCAAGAAGCTTGTGATAGTGTTATAGATAGATAGATAGATAGAAAATTCTTTATTGCACTCAAACAAACAAACATTTGGTACAAAGGCGAACTTAATGCCAAAAAGGCATTCTCTGCCAGCTAACCTTTGGTAGTGTGGTGAGAGTTATGGGTAGAGCCGCAACAGAAGGAAAAAAAAAACTAACTTACTTTAGAAACTAACTTCACATATTATTCAATAATATAATATTATATAAATATGTTACCTTATATATATTGACACTTCATACACACACATATATACATATATATAAATGTATATATACATATAAACAAAAGTACATACTATACCAATAAAATACATACAATCTAGTATAAGAAAATATAATATTATATAAACCAATAATATTAATCAAGTAATTTTAAATAATGTGCCTCAACCTTACGTTTAAATGAATTTATTGAGGGAGCATCTTTTATATCTCGTGGAAGGTTATTCCAAAGTGTAATTGATGATACCGTAAAGGAATCTGAGTAGTATGTAGATTTATGCAACGGGATAGTTAGAGTTTTATTGGACATCGAACGGGATAAGCTTAAGTATGAAAAACGCTCTTTCAGATAAGCTGGGGAACAAGGATTGTAAAGAATACCATACAAAGTGGTTAGAAGGTGTGTGTTCCGGCGAAAACGGATGTCGAGCCACTTAAGTCTTGAGCGAGATTGTGATATATGATCAAACTTGCGCAGGCCAAAAATATAGCGTATGCACAAATTGAGCAGACGGTCGAGTTTGCTAAGCAGTTCCTCAGTTATATCTGGATAAGCAATATCACCATAATCTAAAATAGGAAGCAACAGAGTGTTGACTAACGTAACCTTGGCCGTCTGAGGGATAAACTTTTGCCAGAGCTTTAATGAATGCATTGTGCTAAAAATTCGTTTCCGGACCTCACTAACTTGTGACACCCAGCTTAGGTCGTGAGCCAAAATTAAGCCGAGGTTTTTAACCTGCCTAGCATATTCTAAATCAACACCGGTTAGAATAACCTTAGGCAGATGTTGATAGTCGAGTCGGCATGTAATTTTTCTGCTGCCTATGATTATAACCTGTTATGTTATTGCCGCGAATTGAGAAAGTGTGGTTTTACGAACAAAAAATTTGATTTTCGCTGATTGGGACAGAGACATACATATCGATGCCGTCATAGATAACCAAATTATAATAAATACAGGGGATTCTACAGACGATGATGAGGGTGATGACGACGATGCCGACTATGAAATATCAATTTCGGCTAGTGATGATGACTATGTTCCATCTTGATAAAAATATCATGTAATATTATCTAATTAAAATTAAAACAGAAACAGTTTTATAAATTTTAATTTGATGCTAATCCATTTCTGTCAATACGATTTTAAATTGTTCGTTATAGTAATCGAAGATCAATATCGTAATAGAATTATTACGCATAGAAACGCAGTCCAGTACAAGACACGAGCTTTAAAATGATGCAAAGTCATTATGTTAGTGGGCGCGAGTCGAATACGCCTACGCTCGTCACACGCACACATACACGCCATTCAGTGATACCAGTTTCTGGCGTTTGCAATCAAATTGTGCAAATCACTACTTTTTGATTAATTTTAAAAAATCGATATAATAAAGATTACGTATTACGTACGAAGATTATTTAGTAGAAGTATTTTATGAGAATGTAAAATGGAATAAAATAAACACGATAATGATGTTACTAATATAACTTTATTATACATATATTAATGGTAAAAAATGCAGACGTAATAAAATTTAAGAATATTATTAAATACAATTAACTTGTTCGAATACAATAAGCACATCGTGTAATGTTTAATTTTAACCGACTTCAAAAAGGGAGGAGGTTATCAATTCGGTGTAATATTTAATGTTTTTTACCCCAGAATTCTACAATTTCTAAACCGATTTAGATTTTTTTATTTGAAAGGATATACACAGGTTGATCCAATACACGCTGAAATTTTAATGGTTGTTTTCCCGAAGTAAAATGATTTTGCCTTAGTAGTACAATAGATTTATTAAAATAAAATTATTAGGATGTAAAAATGGCAGATTTACAATCGATAAATACAAAACTCGAATGCGATCTCAAACCAATAGCAATATCTCGCAAGTAGGTCGGGCGTACAGGCTAGCTTATACCGTGTGCCTAGTGCGAGTTGTTGTTTTTACGCACTCGATACCGAGAAAGTTAACTACAATTTGTATGGAATAAAATCAGAGCCAACTAGTGGCAATAATTGGAATCACCATCGAGCATTGAGTCTCATTCGCCAGTGAGAACGTTAACGCACGTGATTGGTTGGAGCGGCAACTTCGATCATTCGAGACGTAAAACTTTACGCGGTCGTTATCGAAAAAGTATTCACCTAAATTTTTACAGTGAGATAGAAGAGTGAGAATAATTGATGAAGAGTTAATTTTATTTCGTTTTGTGAGAACGATATATAATTTAGGCAGGACGTTATTTTTTCGTTAGGAGGATGTTTGCAGCCACAAAGGCATTAATAACTAATAATAATAGATGACTACTATTATAAAGCCAGTGTTGAAGCAAGAGCTTGTGCATATTTTAGTCCGTTGTTACACCCCAATGACAGGTAATTTAAGGATAGATATCGCCTTTTCTAAGAAAGTATTCAAGTTTTTGTGTAAATAGCGTTTGATAAATCCAAGTTCCTACCATCACTATTTAATAATTAAGTCAGTAATAAGTAAGTATCATAAGTTCACTTAACACTAAGTAACTAAATTCTATTTACTGCTCCATAAATATCACCATAAAATCATTTAGAATGAAAACATCTTCATGTTTTTTGCTTTCAATTTAATACTTTCAATAATTAACATTAAAATAAAATGGCTAATTCTCAATCTCATAAAACTAACACAAACTGTCGAAACCTTGATCAAATTCCGAAACATAAACAAATAGCTAATCATGAATTGTGATTCCGATTATTGCCACTAGTTGGCGCTGATTTTATTCTATACAAATTGTAGTTAACGTTCTCGATATCGAATGCGTAAAAACAAAAACTCGCACTAGGCACACCGTATTACTATAATAAAGTCTGAAAAAAAAATTCACTGGACGTAATGTAGTGTTACGTCTATCGTACGTGTTACCGCGCGCTGCCTACACAGTGAAGAGCCACTAATAAATGTTTATAACATGAACTCTCAAGCGTAGTGATACGACATAAACTAGTTTGGACGCCCGAATAGCTTGTGAGGTATAACTATTGTAAATCTGCCCTTTTTTAATTGTAATATTTTTTAATTTAATAAATTGACTCTACTATCGAGACAGTATAATTTGGCTGCGGGACAACAACCACTAAAATTTCAGCAAGTATATACGAATTGATCAAGCTTAGAAATCAGTGTACATACATATTGATAACCTTTATTTTGGGAGTCGGTTAAAATAGGCTATGTTTGGGTCTAACGTAACATCTGGTTAATGTTTGGGTGTAAAGTGACATCTGGTTAGTAAAGGCATTCTTATTAATAATCTCATGATGTAAATAAAAAAGTTTTTATTCTATACTCTAAAACGAAACCTTAGTCAATAAAAAAGCAATTAAAATAAAATAGTTGCGTTAAAATGGCGTCGACGAATCGCGATTAGCTGATCACTCCGTATTAGTTTTAAATAGGCACCCATTGTTAATATAATGTTAACACTTAGAGAAGTAGGTATCTATATATTAACAATTGAGTTTTACACAGAGCGTTGCGATTAAACGTTTTAAACACAAATAGAAAAAAAATATATTTAAAAGAACTTTTCCCCACAACTAGCAACATTTGTATTATGAGAGCTTAGGTAAGTATTTTTTAGTTTTACGTACTTATAATGAATTAAATGTATAAACTTATATCTGAAATGTAATATCATCACTTCTTTTATGTTTATCATCACCCTTGTGACAATATTTTACAACACAAACGGCGAGCTCTTCTCCGTAAGACGTGACGTTACGCACTGACTTTCCGTATATACACTCTTATCTATGGCACTGACCTTCCTTATATATTACTATACTCTTTGGCACTGACGCGTCGCTAAGTCAACTTACGCCGTTTCGCGTAGGGATGGGCAAGGGAAAAAATATATCGATATATATCGAATCTATATTTTTAAACAGTATCGATATATATCGCGTGATAAATATGATAAATATCGATATATCGATATATCGTCAACATTTGCATGATGTAAAGATACGGTCAAAAATTTTATTTACTGACGGTTGGACGACGAAAAAACGATACAACATTTTAAAATATATCGAAATTGATCCGAATTCGATACTCTAAAATAAATATCGAAATATATATAAAATATCGACGATATATATCGATATTTTTTGCCCAGGCCTAGTTTTACTTTCTTCACATTCGGTGCGCGTACTAGTATTCTATGCGTAATAATTCTATGAATATCGTCAAGTATCGACTATAGCGGTACTTTACTATTACTTGATTTTTGACATCTGTCAAATGGGACTTCGTTATTGAAATAGAGTATAGTTTAGTGTAAAGTTCTTATTCCGATTCATAAAACTGTTTATACATTACATTACAAAAATAAACTTATCAAAACGAAATGATTTAGATATATCTAAATAGTTTTGAATAATTGAAAATTTTATCATAATATTTTATTATCATTGCATAATATTTTAATGCTATGTATGCTTTAGGCAACAATTGACGCGCAATACGTGAGGCTCAAGAAGTTAGGCAACTTGCAAGGCACAATGTTGCCAAATGATACGCCACGTCTTCTTCTTAGTCTCCGTTCATTAAATTTTGACGTGTCTGTACATTTACAACATCAATGTTAATAGTGTGGTTTGTTAAACAAACTGATACAAACTTAAGTTTTAGATAAAATCACGATAACGAGTAGGCTATGAAACATAAAGTTCATCACCCTCTAAACATCTGATAAATACTGTTGATCGCCCGCTCGTGTTACTGTCGTTTTGCTTAGTGACAGGCGGGAGGCATGTGGTAGCGTAACAAAGTAGGTATTTATATTAGACTATAAATTGATAAGAGTTGATTTTAGTTTATTATCTATACTGTAGAAATATAAGGCAAAGTGACCGCTGCTAAGAAACAGGTTGATATTCAAATTTAGACTCTAGTGTGTAACGTTTACATTGATCTGATAAGATAAGACTGAATAAGCCAAAAGTCTCTAGAGCATGTCGAAAGACCGAGACAAAAACATAAAAATTTAATTTTATTACTGGATTAATTTTAAATATTTTTAAATTATAAACATATCAACTGTGATCACCCCAAGCTTTTTAGACATCATATTGTCGACGACTGATTGCTGTCTTCATATATGAATCAGTCAGACAACGTTGCTAAACAAAAGTTTCGCGTCGTCGCTCAAGATGAACAACATGTTGAACAAAATGTTGCGCGTCATTTGTTGCCTAAAGAATACACATGTCTTTAACTCAAGAAGACGGCCAAGCAATACTTGTTGTTGTGTTGCCTATTATATATTCTGTGGTGTTGTGTATAGACACGATCTTGTGTGCGTTCAAGTTCATCCTTACTGAACAGAATAATACAAGCAGTTATTTTTGTATCGAATAAAGATAAAAACAAGTGCACATTCCACTTGATGGTAAGCGGATGCACGTGCATTTACACACACAAACAAGACGAAACCACCTTCGTGAGTTAAATAAACTTTTGTTAAACACCAAAACTATTTATAGATGTACGAATCCACGATGGTACGGATGCGAACGCACGGGTACGCCAATGAACATCTTAAATCCGATCAAGAGCGCGCGCATTCGCACCGTCAATTCATTCAGCTTCCGGTATGGACGCGTTGAGGTCCGCGCTAAAATGCCCGCTGGCGATTGGTTATGGCCCGGTATGTAGCATCAGTTTATAAAAATGCTGAATAGTTATTATTGTCTTCTGTAAACAGATCAGATAACCCGAGAGGTTGACTGGGATAAATCCGTTCACAGAAATGAATACGGGAAGGAATAATTTCCGCCGGCAGAGCCAGATATCTTGCCTTGTTAGGTATCTGTTTCGACTTTTATGAGATTCTCGTCAAAGAAAACGGTGTTTGCGACGATTGCCCGGTCCCAGCTGGCATAATCATCTTGGAGCATGGGGTCCGGCATTTATTTATGATAAGGCGATTTCCAATCCACGAAACCGTACTTCAGAGTGAGCTTCAGATATAGGATCCTTGCTACTAGGTTGTGCCTGTGCAGATAGTTAGAGTTGGAAAGCGCCGAACGAAAGAAGCCGAGACGATATGCCTAAGGGACTAACCTGGATGGCGACAAGCTCGATAGGATGTCAACGTTGCCATGCCTTATAAGTGTATCTCCAATATTTATTGACCTTAATATCCAGATCCTACGAATATATCACAGAGGCAAAATCCTTCAGTGGCCAGTGAAGGGAGGCAACTGTGTCTACGAAAGTCTCGTGTAGTACTTCCTGTTGAGCTCATTCTCCTACCGTACGGTCTCTCGGTCGGAAATACTCTGTACTGCCGACCTTTTTATTGTTTTTTATAAAATAAGGATGACAAACGAGCACACATTCCACCTAATGGTAAGTGGATGCTGCGGTCCATAGCCATAGTTACCCCTGACGACTGATATGGAATGCATCGTTTCCATTAAAAAGGGTCTTCGGTTCTATTTACTCAGCATAGGAAACAAAGCAGCATCAATGTGCTATTTTATGCTGTTATTCTGTGAGAACGAGGTCCTTCCCCGGTCGTGCTGGCCCATTTGCGATACAACCATAATACAGCCGCAGCATGGCTCTACCTCGTGAGAGTCCAGCCATTGTTCGTTGACTAAGAATAGAGGGGTAGTCATTTATCACACGTAATGACGTCCGCTTAGAATGGATCATCTGATTTCATCAGGAAATAATTTATCGAGAAATTTTCCGAGGAAATCTTAATACGATCTCATTGTTAATACATATAAAATATTATTTTTAAATCATTACAGCTATTTGGCTATTGCCGGCTTACAACTCGTACGGCACATGGCCCGCATCTGGAGAAATCGATTTAGTGGAATCAAGGGGTAATCGCAACATGTTCCAAAATGGTGTACATATCGGAACACAGGAGGCTGGATCTACTTTGCACTTCGGGCCCTACTCTGATCTTAATGGTTGGGAGCGTGCTCATTGGCTGCGACGGAACAGTGCAGGATACGATACAGATTTTCATCGCTATCAATTAGAATGGACACCTGGTAATTTATCTTTTCAAACAGTTTCAATTAACAAAGTTCTCACTACAAACTGTTGCTATAATAGAATTGAAAATATGGATTTATGTTCCTCTGAATTACTGTAAATGGGTACATTGATTAAAGTTATATACGTCCCACTACTGGACACAGGTCTCCTCTCATGTCTGAGAGGGTTTTAGGGCAAGGAAATGTGCGTCGCGCTGCCCCAATACATGTTGGCGAACTTCAAATGTCTTCGAAATACGTTCTTTCTTATTTCTCAGACATGCAGGTTTCCTCACGATGTTTTCCTTCACTGTGGAGCACGTGGTAAATCAGTACTTAAAATTGCAATTAACAATTTCATTGGTGCCAGCGGGGATCGAACCCGGGTTGCTGGCGTACTGTGAAATTCACAGCGAGTGCTTAGCCCCTCAGCTACCACTGCTCTTTTGTAGTAGTTGTAGTGCATTGATTGCACAGACCTAAATTCTTTACTTTTTCTGGGTATTTTCATGCAACCAAAAGCACACTAGATAATTAAGTACTCGTATACCTTATATTTATGTACGCCTTTTGAGAGATTTTTTTTAATGATTATTGACTCACACCGGGAATAATAATACAGGTTTGTTTTAACTTCACTGTTTTAAGATTTTATTAAGTTCAGCATCGACGACGTTGAACTTGGTCGTGTGACTCCTGGCAATGGTGGTTTCTGGGAGCTGGGTGGCTTCAATGACAAAAACGTTGAAAATCCATGGCGTTACGGATCTAAAATGGCTCCTTTCGATCAAAAGGTATGTGTGTTTTTTTCCGTTCTGTGGGACAAAACATGGCTTCACGATTACGATCTTAAAACAAAATACAGTCTATGACTTGTGAAAGACCATATCATCTCCAAATCCTAAAAATCTAAAGCTAGTCCTTCCGCTCGTAAGATCATGGGCTCTTTTCTGTGATAGTCAATGCCGGATTAAAGGCCGGCAACGCATCTGCAATTCCCCTGGTTCCCCTGATGTTGCAGTTGTTCATGGGCGGCGGCAGGCGGCGGTAGTCACTTACCATCACGTGAGCCGCATGCTCGTTTGACTCCTCTCCTGTAAAAAAAAATTATTAATAATCTTGATCATGGAGCTACTGTTACGTGCACTTTAAATTGCGTACGCAAAAAATTGACTATGTTGAAAAATAAAATAATATTTAATAAAAGTCACCTGTAACTGTAACATCTCATTCACACATTTTGCTACTAAACACATTACGATGTGGTTAAAGATTTTAAAAAGAAATTGAGTACTGTGGCCACACCAACACACGCGGAGCCGAAAACCAACGATTTGTTTTCTCGCATAAAATAAACCCCGCCAATTTACCAAAAGAAAAAGCTTTAGCCAAGTGCTGACCACTATACCACATAGACATAACGAAGAAATTTCTTATTACAGGCGTAAACAAATAAAATGGAAATGGAAAATTTATACATTTCACCTTTTTGCTAAAGTCATAGTTTTGCTTCAAAGCAAAATTAATATTATTATTTTTTCATGGAAAAACTAAAAGGATATTAAGTTGTCAAGATTGGTCTGGAGAACGATCCTTGACCGCTGCACTCCAGATTGATGACTAGTTAAAATGTAAATCTAACAGAAATAAGTACAAAACTTGAGATATCTTACTAATATGTTTTATTGTTTTCAGTTCTATATTATAATTAATTTAGCTGTGGGCGGTACTAACGGGTTCTTCCCAGATGGCGTGACCAACCCAAGCCCTAAGCCTTGGTGGAATGGCTCACCTACGGTAAGTTTCTGTAAGATTGATATTTTTAAGGAATTTAATTCTGGGGGACTACATTTAGGTAGTAAGTTAAGATGGGCTACAATGATGCATAAAATGGTGAAAGTATTGTTTCTTTATTCACGAGTTGAACATTATCTTGCTGATATCCAACACCGTTAGCCCCAAGGTGGCTTTTATTTCGACTATAGTCCCGTGATGTAAGAGAAATCGTAAGAGAATTTATTACCCGCCGGCAATCGATTACTGATAGGTCGGGGAAAAAGCTTTTTAGTATTTTATATACAAAAAAAAATTCAAGACATTTTTTTTCAGACAAAGTTTATTTACGTTTAATTAATATAAGAAGGGTGCTAGTTCAGGACTATATGGTGGATGAATCAACACTTCCCAACCAAGCTCTCTCAATTTTTGGCCAAACATGTGTGTGGTCTGGTTTTATCATGATGAAAGACATTCCTTTTCTGTTGATCAATTCCGGCCATTTTTTCTCAATTTCTTGCTTGAGTCTCATTAGTTGTTGGCAGTAGAGATCCGAATCGATACTTTTTACCGGGCAATAAAAGCTCATAATAAACGATGCCCTTCCAATCCCACCGTAAATACAGCATCACCTTATTGCGTGTTAATCCGGGTTTCGCTACAGTCTGTGGAGCTTGACCCTTTGACCATGATATTTTTCGCACGTTCTTGTCGTAGGTGATCCACTTTTCACTCATCACCAGTGATCAATCTTTTCAAAAATGGTTCGGTTACATTACGTTCCAGTAGAGAATCGCAAATGAGTACACGATTCATTAGGTTTCTTTCAGTGATCTCGTGTGGTATCCAAATATCGAGCTTTTTGTATAGCCAGACTTATTCAAATGAGTCAAAACTATTTTGTGGTCAATCCTCAATTCCTCAGCTATGTCGTAACTACTAATATGCCGATCTTACATGCCATCGACTTTATCCATCTTTGACATCAAACCCGGACTAAAATCGCTCGAACTAACTTTGTGCTACTCTTACTGATACTGCTTTGGGTCCATAAACCTAACAATTTTTTTCGCGGCTTGAGTCGCATTTTTCTTTTTTTGTAATAATACTTCAGAATGTATCGAATTTCTTCGTTAGATTCTCTCATTTTGGAGGACAGAAAAACAATTAAAAAATGGCGGGAAAATGTTTCTTTTTTACTTTTTTTCTTTTTCTTAATGTATTGATATTAAAACCAGCCAAATACAAACAGTACAACCAAAGATTTTTCTTCAATCTTATACAAACAAAATACGAAGAAACTTTTTCCCTGACCTCTTCTTTCTTATTTATGGCGCAGCCCGATGGTTTAAGGTACTAGATCGATGAAACTAATTTAAAAATCTAAGTCGTCAAGGTTAATGAAGTTATCATCACTGGGCTAATCAGGTTTTTGGGCAGCCCAAAACTTAAATATTATACAAGTCGTCATAAATCGAACAAATCATAATTGATTGATATTAAATGATAAATGTCGGCATGGTGATTACGGATTGTAATTCATTGTAAATTATAAACAACTATAATTAATTATAACTTATTGAAAATATTTTTTCTTCTTACATCTCTGATTCGGGAAAGAAACCTGTCTTGCGAAGGATCAGCAAGAGACTCAGTGAGGTTTTTTTCAAATCTGTTTGTCTGTCTGTTCGGGCTAATCTTCGGAACGGCTAAACCGATTGTGACGAAACTTCACGAACCGATAGAGAGCAATACAAGGAGTAAACTAAGCTATATTTTATCCAGAAAACTTGAGAAACTGTTTTTTTTTTGTGAAATGCAAAAAAATATATAAAGTAAATAGTCATTGATGATTATTTAAAAAAATCAAAATGACGTTACGTTATTAGATCTCACCCAGGCAAAGCCAAGGTAGGAATTCATTAATATACACCTAAATTTACAAAGTAGGTTCAAAATAAGTAATTAGGCGAATGGTGAAAAAAAAATAAAATTAATTTTAATTCAGAATGCGTGGTAATGCATTTATGCATTATTTTAACTGATTGTCATTCATAAATATTTTACATTCGTAAAGGTCGCTCAAAGGCTCGGTCGGCAATAACGTATTCGTAGTGAATTGAATCACACACAAATGCAAATTTGCAGAGAAGGTTCAGAATTAGTATAAACAAATGGTGCAGAAAAATTAATAAAAAAAAATCTCAAACATTTTGTTCTTTTTATCCTTTAAATTGAAAATGCATGGTAATGCATAATTTTAACTGATTTTACTACGCACACACATATTTTATAAGGGTCGATCGGTAGGCAAAAATGTGGTTTCCCATATATCACATTCAATTTGGAATAATTTCAAGTAAAATTAGAAGCCTTAAGTATTTACTCGTATTTTCAAAAACTGTATTAACGGTATATCATTATCATATTTATATATTTAATTAAACTTATGTATAAAAATTGGCTACTCTTTGAAAACAAACTCTGTATATATACCATCTTTTAATCTTTGTATTACAAGTACTTGCGTCAAGATTAATTAATACCAAAAAAAAAACAGTGACATCAGCTAAGCTCAATTCTTCCGTATTTGGTATTCAGACGTAAATTTTTTATACTTAGTTTTAATGTTTAATTGTTGATGTTAAACTAATGTACCTACCTTTTAATTTCAAATTAGCATAATTCACATCGTTATATTTAAACGATTCGTGTTTAAGTTTGAAAATAATAAAGGAGAGTATCAGCGTATAATTCTATATCATGGTTATTCTCTACAAGTTCAGTCATTAAGTATAGAGTATTCTGAATAGGCCAAAGTTCATGATTGCGCGATTTGGAATTCTCAACCGTCAAAAACTGAAGGCATCCGGTGTATTCCAATAATACATCTGGCTCCATTTTGCATAAATTACAGACATGTAAAGTTCGGTACCACGAACTGGAGCAGCTCGCAGCGGACTAAATTCCATATATTATACTAATGCCAGACTAAACAACCTGCACCAAGCAGTGGGACGTACATAGGCTGTTACTTTAAAAATGGCAGGACTACCAGAAAAGCCAGTTTATTTTATGCAGCTGGGTCCTCAAATTATATCACTCTCGACGCAAAGCTTCAGTGAAGTCCCCATATATCCAAACTAGCAAGCAGACTAAGCTCTGCAGCTTATGCTGTAAAAAAAGAATAGAGGTCTCACTAGTGTCGAGACAGCTAGATTAGTTTATTTCAGTTATTTTCATAGCATAATGTCTTATGGGATTTTGCTACGGGGAAATGCGGCTGATTTAGAAACTATTTTTGTTTTGCAGAAGAGGGCCATAAGAACTATTTACAACCTTAAACCAAGAGTCTCTTAGAAAAAATTTAAAGAAATAAATATATTAACTTTGGCCTCTCATTAAAACGAAAACTTAATGTATGTTCACAAAAACAAAGATAGATTTAGTAAAAAAAAAAGTGATATACACTCTGTAAACACTAGGAACAAACACAAGCTAAATGATACCGGTCTCTCGGCTCCACAGAGTCAGTAATTCATTCTTGGAGGAGGTTCTGTTAGGAGCATGTTCTTTTTTGTTTCTATGTTATGGCCTCTACACACCAAACCCGCCGGCCCGCCGTCTATACCCGGCGGGTTGGTGCCGGGTATAGCCGGCGTTTCTCCAAAGTTCATATGCTGGTGGCATATCAACTTTGGAGAAAAAATCCACCTCTAAGGGTTCTTCTTTTTTAGCAATTTGAAGTCGGTTTTTGCTTTTTGTTATAAGTTATAATTATTTTTTGATTAGTTTTGGTATCTTGATATCGACGATTAAGAAACGGAATGCAATATTTTAAGTCTCGAATAGTTAATTAAATAAGATTTCTTATTTTTGCACCCAGTTCCAGTCCTGAAAAATTAATACTTTTTATTTTCAGGCTTCTACTGATTTCTGGAATGGACAAGCGGGATGGCTGCCGACGTGGAATTTGAACGTCAATGACGGCCAAGATGCATCCCTCCAAGTAGACTATGTACGCGTCTGGGCTTTGTAGGAATTTCTGCACATGTACAGAATTATACGTGTTGGTACACTAAATAAACTATAGTACTTTACATTCATTTATTTTATTTATTGACAGCTGTACAAGTACCAATAATTAAAATGTAGGACTCGCTAGAAATATAAACTCAATTTTCTTTATTGTTGTAAGTATCTTACTACCGTATATAATCTTGTATGTATTCTATAACGTTGTATCAGCTGCAAAGTTCTAAAAAGAAAAAGGCGATGTACCGGCAGTGTGTATATTTTATGTGTAGTGTGTGTACTGTGTACACAAACAATTTCGAGCCACTTTCGACCTCCCCATAACTAAAAACTATTAGAACTTGACTTACACTGGCATATCACCTTGTACGCTGACGACACATGGTTATTTTATTTCGGCTCATCCATACAGACACTTATTAATCAGGCTCAAAAAGATTTAAATACTCTATCCATTTAGTTTCAACAAAAATTACTAACTATAAATGCATCTAAAACATCATACATCATTTTTAGACCTAAAAATAAATTTATACCACCACATGAACCTCTTACAGTTAATAACATACCTATACAACAAAAAGTAACGAAAAATATTTAGTATTAAGAATTGACAATAAGTTGTCTTGGAACAATCAAATTGAACACATAAGAAGCAAATTATGTCTGTTTCTGGTTCTATTGGAAATTTATTAGGATGCATTCCGCGAAATTTACGTTACACCATTTACAACACTCTTGTCAAACCACACCTTATATACGTTATAGAACTTGGAAGTGCTACCAAAACTATACTAGCTAACCTACAAGTCGCTCAAAATATAGTCATAAAAATACTCTTCCAATATCCATTTCGTAGATCCACCTCAAAAATCTATAGTGAAACAAAAATTATGACCATACAACAGTTATACATTTATCACTCATGTCTTTTAATCCGGAAAATTATTGAAAAAAACATTCATTCCAGTATCACTTTCACAAAAGCAAAATACCTCAGACAACGATGAACGAGAAGAGCCAGCTTTCTTGTCCTATCTAAAAGTAGAACTTCCTATGGTAGAAAAACATTAACATATGAAGGAGCGTAGCTTTATAATAACATACCTGCACACATTAAAAATGTACGCTCATTTAACACATTCAAAATAAAATTAGTAGAATATGTTTTAAAAAATTACACAAAATATGTTAATTGAGTACACATAAATTTACAATGACGAACATAACGAATGAAAATTTTGTTAGTTTTTTTTTTATGTTCTCATGTAAGTGACTAATGTAAGTCTTTATGAAAATAAAATTCTTTAAACCTAAACCTAAGATGGCATTTATATTTTCATTTACGACAGTTACTGTTTTAGGCAAATACGAAATAAAGTTACATACTTATCTGAAATTAATATTAATTTAATTAACGGAATCAGTGTTAAATGGTCGAAAACAACGTTCGCGGTTTACAAAATAAAGAAATAGTTTGAAAAATACAAAAGTCCATTGTTTGTCCAATCCATTGTTTGTCCAATCCATTGTTTATGAATCGTGTACCATGGATCCTAATCATTGGCATCCTTCATATATTTTACAAAAGACGATATTTGTTGCGCATTAAAAAATTTACACCTCGGTCACGACGGCTTACCTCCAGTATTTCTTTAAATAAACTGCAGATTACCTCTTTTTTTAACAGAACTCATAAGGTCGTTTTAAATGGTTATGAATCTAACTCTATTGTTCTCATTTCCGGTGTACCTCAAGGATCGATTTTGGGTCCCCTACTCTTTATTTTGTTCATAAATGATGTCAAGGTCTGTTTCAACAATTCTCATTTTTTAATGTGCACTGATGATTTTAAAATGTATGAAAAATGTCAAAAAATTCACGATTACTCACTTCTTCAAAAAATTCTTGACAGATTTTCTCAGTACTGTTTAGATAATAAGCTTCAAAGTCTGCCCAAATGTAATGCGATATCTTTTACAAAGAACAAAAAACCTTTTAATTTTAAATAAACATAGTCAGAGACCTTGGTTTAATGCTGGATTCTAAATTACATTTAGATTACCATATCGATTACATAATCAATAAACCTTTTAAAAAATATGGTTTTTGTTAATTAATAATGATTTATATAATATTGTATTTCAATGGCATCGGTTGTCAACACTGTGTCTGTTATGAAGGAAGGTTCAATATGATGTTATAGGCTCTCCATGTTGTTGTTTTGAGGTTAATAAAAAAGCACGTTTTATGTTCAAAGTATTATATCTTTAATTATCCACATAATCCTTAACAGGGTTATGGGCCCAGTACGGCCATCAGTTTTATAATGGATTAATAAGTGTTAAGGACAGAAAATGTCAAAAGAAAAATATCAAATTGTCCCTTTCGCGGGGGACAGTTACAACGCATGGGAGTTTCGATTAAAAAGTATCCTGCGGGATAATGGAGCAATAGAGGCGATCGAAAAGGAGGATTTCAGTAAATTTATGGATAACAAGCAATTGCAATTGGAGCTAAGGCCCAGGTGGCAACCGCCGACAGTCACCTCGAATACTTAAAGGACAGATCTGCTTATCAAATGATTAAAAGCATTGAAGACATCTTTAAGAAGAAAGGTACACGATCTAAATTATTTATAAGAAGAGAGTTGTCCGATATGAAATGCGACGAACGGAAACCTTTAATGGAACATTTTATTGACATGGAAAAGCTATTTGCACAACTAGGGGATGCTGGCAGTGAGCTCTTGGAGGAAGAAAAGGTTAAATCTTATGCAGGCATTATCACGGCTTTGGAAACTGTGGAGGAATTGGAAATGGACTTCGTGAAAAACAGACTGCTTGGGGAAGAGAAAAAACGGAACAGAGGAGCGACCAAATCCCTTGACTCTTCAATCTTCTTGTGTTATGGATGTGGACGCCCCGGACACAAAAAATCCCAGTGTAGGAGCACTCAGCAGGCACGACACAGGACTGGCGACTGGAGACTTCACGGCCGTGTACGTAGCGACTGGAAGTACAACGGAAGCCGAGACGACAGTAAGGCAACTCGTCATCAGACCCAGGGGAGAGGTAGAGGAAAGTCATTTCTTACAGGCAATGAAAATACTGAAGGTAACAAATTTGTAAGTTTTATGTCTATTTGTAAATTTATTATCTGTTTCCAAAATGGAAAAGCATGGTTTAAAGATCATCTTCAATAAAGGGGAAGTTAAAGTTTTCTCACAAACCAATGAATTGCTTATGGTTGGGTATAGACTAGGGTCCCTTTATTTTGTAGAATTTAAAGTAATATTTAATGATTGTTATTATGGTGCAAAATCAGACACCAATGATAATTCAGTAGAAATTCGGCACAAACGATTTTCTCACTTAAGCTATAGTAGTTTGAAAACTTTAGTAAATAAAAATATGATAAAAGTATGGCAACTCGTCATCAGACCCAGGGGAGAGGTAGAGGAAAGTCATTTCTTACAGGCAATGAAAATACTGAAGGTAACAAATTTGTAAGTTTTATGTCTATTTGTAAATTTATTATCTGTTTCCAAAATGGAAAAGCATGGTTTAAAGATCATCTTCAATAAAGGGGAAGTTAAAGTTTTCTCACAAACCAATGAATTGCTTATGGTTGGGTATAGACTAGGGTCCCTTTATTTTGTAGAATTTAAAGTAATATTTAATGATTGTTATTATGGTGCAAAATCAGACACCAATGATAATTCAGTAGAAATTCGGCACAAACGATTTTCTCACTTAAGCTATAGTACTTTGAAAACTTTAGTAAATAAAAATATGGTTGATGGTTTAACCGATTTGAAAGAAAAAAATTTAGAAAATAGGCATTGTGAACCATGCATACTTGCTAAGATTACACGCCTTCCTTTTAATGGGAAAATGTATAAGGCTAGGAAACCCTTAGAACTAGTACATACCGATGTTTGTTCTGTTAGCCCTTCTACGTTCTACGGACGGGTATAAACACTTTGTTACTTTCATAGACGATTTTACCCTCTTCACCGCAGTTTACTTATTAAGAGACAAGTCTGAGGTTTTTGAGTATTTTAAGACTTATTATAATTATGCTAGTAATCATTTTAGTCATGGTATATTGAAGTTAAAATCCGATAATGGTGGTGAGTATATTTCTAGAAATTTCAAATCCTTTTGTGATGAAAAAGGCATAGTATTACAGTATACTGCTGCCCGAAAATCCCGAAATGAACGGAGTAGCTGAAAGAATGAATCGTACTCTGACTGAAAAGGCGCGTGCATTATTGTTAGATTCACAGCTTCCTAAAGAGCTGTGAATCTAAGAATATCTAACAAGGGGCGAGGCCCTGCGATATGCGGTATATGTCACTAATCGTAGTCCCACTGCTTCCCTTAATGTTACACCATTTGAAATGTGGGAGGGAAGACGTCCTAATGTGTCTAATTTTAGAATATTTGGGACATCTGCATATGCCCATATTCCCCAAAAACTCCGAATGAATTTAGACCCTCGTGGTGTGAAATTGAAAATGGTTGGGTATGCTCCGGGGGGGATACAGATTATGGGATGCTAATGAAAGGAAGATACGCATAGAACAAAACGTATTGTTTAGGGAAGAAACATGTTCAGAGTCCCCTGAAACGATTAGTATTGACGTGGAGTCTATCTCGGATGAGAAGGAGAAGGATGATGGTAGTAATCCTGAGAAAACCAAAACCAACCAAAACCAACACAAGATTTTGTCACAGATTTAGGTGATATATTAATGGCATCATTTTTATCTTTTTCTAATGGAAATGTCCCAGAAAAGTATAATGATATAGATTCTTATGACGATAAAGATAGGTGGTATGAAGCGGTAAATGAAGAAATTAAATCTTTAGAGGATAACAAGACTTGGGAAGTTGTAGAAAGATCAAACGATGCTAAGTTAATTGATTGTAGATGGATTTTTACAAAAAAGGTGGGTAATGTATATAAAGCTAGATTAGTTGCAAGGGGGTTTCAACA